GCCATAATAATCATATACATTGTATATTGACAAAATAAAAATTTAACGAAAATAAAATAAATAAATACAGAAATAAAAAAACAAACAAACAAAAAACAAACACTTGGATCAATGGAACAGAACAGAACACCAGGATCAAGCTACATACTTACAGCCAATGGATCTTTGACAAAGGCAACAAAAACACACATTGGGGAAAAGACTGCCTCTTCAATAAATGGTGCTGGGACAGAAAATTGGACATCTATATGTGGAAGAATGAAACTGTACACGTTCCTCTCATCATATACTAAAATAAACTCAAAATAGATTAAAAACCTGAAAATAAGATCCCAAACCATAAAATTACTTAAAGAAAACATAGAGAAAACACTCCAAGAAGCAGGACTGGGCAAAGACTTTATGAATAAGATCCCAAAGCACAAGCAACAACAACAACAAAATAAATGGAATTATATCAATCTAAAAAGCTTCCACACAGCAAAGGAAACAATCAACAAACAGATTGGAAAGACAACCTACAGAAAGGGAGAAAATAGCTGCAAACTCTACATCTGACAAGGGGTTAATATCCAGAATATATAAGGAACTCAAACAACTGTACAGTCAAAAACCAAATAATCCAATTAAAAAATGGGCAAAAGAAATGAATATACATTTTTCAAAGGAAGATATACAAATGGCCAACAGATACATGAAAAAATGCTCAGGATCCTAATCATCAGGAAAATACAAATCAAAACTACACTGAAATATCATCTTACCCCAGTTAGACATGCCATTATTAAAAAGACCAAGAATAACAAATGCTGGTGAGGATGTGGGGAAAGGGGAACTCTTCGATACTGTTGGTGGGACTGTAAATTAGCACAACCATAATGGAAAACAGCATGGAGGTTTCTCAAACAACTACAGATAGAACTACCATATGATCCAGCAATTCCACTTCTGGGTATATACCGAAAGGAATGGAAAGCATCATGTCGAAGAGACACCTGCACTCCCTTGTTTATTGCATCTCCATTTACAACAGCCAAACTATAGAGCAAACCTTAATGTCCATTGATGGATGACTGGATATGGTAAATATGGTATATATACACAATGGAATACTACTCAACCATAAAAGGATTGAAATTCTGCCATTTTTAGCAACATGGATGAACCTGGAGAAAATTATGTTAAGAGAAATAAGTGAGACACAGAAAGAGAAATA